TGCTGGAAAGTCTGGTGAAGATCATGCAGAGAATGGCTGTTCCCTATCTCTATACCTATTTGTTTCAGGGTCTGTCTCAGGATGCCATGTGGAGCTCACAAGGAAGGAATTATGTAGGCTCTGGTTTCTACTCCAGGGCTGTTCCCTTCTGCAGCCTTCAGGGTGCTCTCAGGGTGCATCTCTCTACTTTGCTCTTCTTCCTGCTTCTCACTAAAACGATGCCTCTCACTTTGCCGTTAACACTTTTTATCACCAACAGGGTACTGCGGATCACTCCCCCCACTCCAAGATAGCCATGTAGAAAGGACACCAAAAAAAAAGCCAGTCACGTTCTATGGCAGAGTACAACCTTTACAGATTGCTCTGTTTTAAACGTTCTCCCGTTCCCTGGGACACAGTCTGCAGCACTTCCCTGACGTAGCAGTAAATGCAGAGAAAGTAAACAGAATGCCTCTTCCTTCACCTGCTCTGCAGGTGTAAGACATGCTCCCAAGCATGTCCTCAAGGACTAGCACATGTGCTGAGTTTACATTCCTTAGGTTGTCATCAGTGACAATGCTAATTACCAGACCTCACTCACCTTTCAACTTCTTCTTTCCAAATTGTATTCCAAATAGAGGCATCCCAAAACTTTATTTTAGTCCAACTCCATGGAATTTCTGCAAGACAAGAGAGAAGGCAAGTCACAGCGGGGGTTTCTAGCCATGCAGCATGACATGAGGTAACAGTAACATATAATTTATAGCCTTACAATGGGAGATCCTAGTTCCAAAGCAATAGCATCAACAGCTACAGTTATTCACATAGCAAATTTTAAACATAAAACCATCTCAGGTTTGCAAGTTGCAGCACTTCAGTGTAGGTTACTTTACCTAGGACATTTTGATCTGTTCATCTCCTGACATAGCACAGAGAAGGAGCCAGTGAAGGAGACACTAAAAAGAATGTTCTCTACTTCTTTGACCCTATATGAAAAGAATGAATATACTCACAGGGCTTGAATTTAAGATACAAAGGAACTGTATGACTACCCACAGCAAGACTAGCCTCCCTGAAGAGAAGGAAGCAGTGGGAAAAACTGGCTTTCTGTACATCTGCCTGTTCTCAACATGTGCTGGCTCACACTGTTGCCCATCTGTTGGGTATCCTCAATGTTTGAGGCTGACTAGCTTATATGGCTCTGAGTATAAGTTTTCCCCTGGTGGCTGCAAAATTTCTAGCCTAAAGCTAGGCACCTGAAACACTTTTAAGGCACTTAACATGTCCTGATAGTCAGAGAGACCGAACATTAGAAGAATCACATCAAGTCTGTTGGTGATAAAACTTCCAGTGTTCCCAGCATGGCACTGTTCATTTAAAGGACTTAAGGGTCATGTTGGTGCTGACAGGCTGTGAAGATCCTTGAACACTGGGAAAAGGCTGCATTCCCCTGCATGCCTGGTTGACCTGGAGCCTGAATGAAGATGAATGCTGTATTAATTGCTTAACAGGCCAATGGAGCCAACTAGAGAAGTCTGAGGGAACCAAATTTAACTAAAATAACTTTTGCAGATGACCGTAACTAAGTGATAGAATGAAGTTTTGTACCTTGACACTGCTCGTGTTTCATGAAGAAAAATTAAAAGTTATGGGTAAAGAACACCCACCATGAGTCCGCGGCAACTTGCAGACATTCATACTGTCTCTCATACAAAAACATACCAACTCCTCTTCTTTAATTTTAAAGTGCCACTTACTTAAGATTATACTCTTATCTGTGCCCGAGCAAGGCTGGCTAAAGAAATAAGTACAGCAGATGATATACCCCATTTCAGAAACACACAAGTGTGAATACAGCCCACGCCACTGCCTAGGTGCACTCCCGATGCAACATCACTGGTCAGTGCTGGGTGCTAGCTTGGGTTTCACTTCTTTCCAGAAAACAAAGATAAACTTGAAGAAAAACTCTACAATGATTGCATAGGTTGAACACCGTGCAGATCTTCTCTGTCCCAGATGCTAAAACAGAGCTATTTTCAGCAGCTGTAATTCAATAAGCCTGAAATATTGCAAGCAGCAGCAGGTGATGCTCCAGCCAGCCTGCTGACCGCTGGAGGCCCTGGACCCACAGCAGTCCAGGCAGCGCTCCCAGCTGCACACCAGTCGCACCTCAGTGACTCAGTTACTGCAGTGCTCAGGAAACCCTCTGTGCCCACTGTACTTCAAAGAGATCCTTTTTGCAGGCACTCATGTAGATCCAACTCACCAGAATAAATGTTTGGGCAATATTTCTCCCTCAGATTTCCTTTGTCCATGGAGCTAAACCACTTAAAGTTACAACACTCACAGTCACAATCTAAAGCTTTCTCAGTCCTGCTGTTCATTTGAGGTTAATATAAAATATCCCTAGCACTACTTTTACTTTCCATCCCTAACTGACCTTAGTGCATCTTTTTCAACATATTCTTCTGTATCTTTTTAAGCTTGTTAATCCTATGTCTTATAAACAATTCTAACTAGGACTGAGCTCCACACAAACAGGTGGGAGGACTGAGACATGCTCCCCACACACCTAGAGGTAAAGACCTTGGACTCTTCCTAGAGCACCAAGAGCCACAGATCTGATAAGCACAGTCTGCATGTAGCTTAAGATTGCAAAGGGTTGGCTGGTCGTAATCATTTGGTATAGGTACAATGCTGAACTCTGGACTTTGCTGTATTTGCCAAGTGCTTCAGAAAAACTATCTGCAACTACTAAATATCTCCCAGCTGTGTGCTTAATTGAAAGGCATATAACTTCAGTAGAGGGAAAAAAGGTTTATTTTTATGGGAGAGCAGAGAGAAGGGAGGTTATAAGCCTTCTTTTGGCAATAATAAAGTCAAACAAAAAATAGAGTTAAGATCAGCTTCTCATAAATAAAAACATGAAACTTCCCTCAGCTCTGACACATGGGTTTTGTTAATTACTGTGGTACATTAATCATTGGTTTCTGGCGTGACAGTAGGGTGATAAAAAGACTGCAACAATATACTGTTTTGTCATGGGGCATCTTTAATTCCTTCAGTGCATTTGATCAGAATTGCATCCACTGAATATCTTTGCTCAGCAGCAAATTCAAATTACCTTCAAGGGCAGCTTAAAGCAGCACAAGTATTCCTACAGGCTCACCGTTTCAAAGAAAACTTGTATTTTAGGGTAGACATGGATAATAACTTTACCACGCCCCTCTCTACCAATACCTTTCCAAATATGTTATTTCCATCACACAGATTTATCACAGCTGCCTGCTTAGCTAAAGCCCATGAGTTACAAATCTTTCCAAAGCTGACCTGATCCTCTAAGCAAAATTCAGTTCCTGCCTTGCCAAAACCACAATGTCATTTGAGTATGTGTCAGTATTCAATGGGTGCACGCATAATAACACAAAAGGCTTGACACAGCCCTAACCCGCTAAGGTGTACTCTTTATTTTGATAATATTACAGATATCTTCTTTTTCCAGTTTGTTTTTGACTCAGACATCTCATTCTCGTATTCCTTTAGCTAGCAACCGAATCTCCGACTTTTTTCACAGTCTGTAGCTTCTTTGTGTACCTGTCTGCTAACAGCCCAGTTTCTGGCAATACACCTTAATACTTTTATGTGCTTGTTTTCAGCCTGTGAGTTCATTGTCCTGCTGCTGCAAGTATGAAAACAAACCTAAGTAAATGGTGGTGGAGTTGTCCTCTTCGTTAGTGCTCAGCACTTCCTACTGGTGTTAACTCTTGCTTCAGGCACTGCAGACTGCTTCGACCGCTGCATTTCCTTCACCTGTTCCTTAGGTGCCACGTACAGTTCTCATTTGTGCTGGCGCTCACAATTTCTACAGCAAGATGTGTTCTTCTTGGCTGATGTTAGCTCTGCAAGCCTGTCTTTTTTTCTTGGCACATTTTGGTCTCTCAGTTGTACCTTAAGGGTCAAAGAACTCTCCACCGGTATCTATCAACAATCTCCTCCAGGGTTTTGTTCCATATTCCAGATGTGATCCAAATTCACATTCCTGTTTGGCTGTTATTTCTTATGTCTTGCTTTATTTTTTACATGAAAGGTTCAGCCTCCCTTCCAAAATTGCAACAATGGATTTTCAGCCTCAGTCACATACATTGCTATAGTTTTAATTTCCCTTTGCACTTTCTAGAAGAATGATGTCTCTCATATGCTTCATTTTCATGTGGTGTGAAGTACTTCTCAAATTTTGGTATGACATTTTCACAACCTCCTATTTCTGAATTAACTGAAAACCATAAAACATAGGAAAACTTCCTACAGTCAAAACACAGACAACTTCCTGTTTGCCTTTCCCAGGCACCAGTATTTTTCAGACGCAAAGTGAAGCACTGTTTAAATCTCCCCAAGTTGTCTCCCATAGTATAGTCAACTCAGCTGGACGTCTTTGCTGTTCCATTTTCCGCTTGACCATTTTGTTTCATTTCTGTTTCCTCCTGGTACCCTGTGCTGTTCAGTAATCAACTGAGGCTGACGGTATTCAAAAGAGATCTTTATTAGTCATGCAGTTCCAGCTCCTCTGCCTAACAGGACATGTGTTACTTCCCCAGGTTTCCAGAGTCTATGGCGAAAATCATTTAAAGATCAAATTCCCAGTACCTCCCTTATGGGGAGTCAGAGGTATAAACTATGAATAAATTTCCTCTTCTCACTATGGAAGGTTTTTGTACATACAGCGCTCTACAAAATCCCTAACTAGGGCTTACGCTTCTGCAAAGACAATCCATTTGCTCTGTGGCTACTGACAGTTTCATCACAGGCTCTGAGCACTTTAATATCCACAGTGAGAGAAGCTACTTTGATGGGTCTTGAATAGGGAGGGGATGCTTTTTCACAATCCAAGGTCAGCCTTATTTAAGGCCTGAGAGTCAAAAGCCAGTATCTAGATTTGGCTTGAGAATGCAATTCCAATGTTCCTTCTGCCTAAGAGGCAGGTTGTAATGAGCTATGACACGTGGAATTCGCAGAGGCCACAACCTAACCCAAAAACATGACTCCCTAAGGGTAATTCACCAACCAAGAGCAAAGGCACTCTACTGCAAACTGGAGATGGAAGGAGGCACTCCTTGCCACTGCAATAATAAGTAGAAAAATAAGAAAAGATGCCACTCTGATGAACAGAAAGCAGATGTTCTGAGTGGAAAATATGGTTAGTTTCTTGGCCCCAGTTTCTCCGGGTGTAGCTACATGATACATCAGACTCAATGATAAATATGAATTAAAGAATACTTCGTGCTTCTGCTCCCACCACCTTGTTCCCAGACTCTGTGAAATGATCCATGTTAAATATAATATTTTTGGAAATGTTATTTTTAATCTAGATCATGGGGTGTAGTCCAGTACAGACTAAAATTCCTGTCCACACAGCGGTATTAGCAGATTCAATGGGGCAGTAAATTGTGATATGATGGTGGAAACAAGCACCCAGAGTCCAGGGGAGGTAGGCAGGAAAACAGGATTTCTCCAATCAGTTTTGCCACCAAAAATAATGATGTGATATATACGCATCCTTATTATGCAATGGCCTTGTCTAGCTGAAAATTCAGAGTGCGTGCCATGCCTTCACTCAACAGCTTTCCATGTCAGGTCAGCTTCTGCATGTGAGCAAGATTTGTAAGGGAACGTTTTTATCTGT